CATTCTGTTGCCTGGCTGACATGTCGCCTCAGGTACCTTATCTTCCCAGCTGGAGGCCTCCAAGCCGTACTTCAGCAAGATGTCCCTGAAGGCAAAAACCCTATTCGATGCATGGGCGGCTGCTATGATAGGCGAGAGCGCCCCTGCTGCTTGTCTTAAATATTTGGTTGTTGGTTTTCGCATAGACCCTTTCTCCAACCATGTACCAAGAAGCCGCAAGGCGCCAGTCTGCGAGACGCCGGCCCGAAAGCCTTCGGCAATGAAGCCGAAGTCAACTTGAGCTGCTGGTGATTTAGCAGGTGCCGTTTTGGAACATGCTGCTCTATCTGACCTGCAATGGCTGTAGTCTAGGGCATGCTGCTCTGGCTGACATGCAATGGCTGTAGTCTAGGGCCAAGGCTTTGTCGGATTTGCCAGCTGTCATTTAATTTAGGCTGAATGTCAGCGATTCAGACCAGACCAGGCTGGAGCAGCTTTTGAGGAAACCTACTAGGGGTCCAGGGGTGTGGATTTCCATGAATCATCGACTCCGCAGTTTGTGCGATTGGTCCGCCAAATGGTGCCTCACGTTTCGCTGGCTGCTGCCTTTTGCCCGAAACACACAAGCCCTAACTAACCCTGGCCGCAAGCCCTATCCTAAAATAATAAAGTTAGTCTTTGATCCCTAGCCTAGACCCGCCCGTAACTCTAAAACCCCCTAAAACCTAAATCCCTGAACCGCAATTCCGCCAAAACCAAGCACAGAAAATAGTACCCAAACAGCCACAAGTGAAAGGCATGCCGTCTTTGGGACCCAAACGCAAAATGCTGATGTCCTTGGCACACTCGTCGTAAGCCACAGCCCCAAATGCTCCATATGAAACTGAATAATAATTATCTCCTGTTATTTAGATTTAAAGACATAGTGTCGGGTCTTGATCTGCCTGACTCAGGACTTCTGCTACTTCGTTCATAAAAAAAGCCCTGCAGTTTTCAGCTTTCCCCCAATCATTAAACCCTATACTAAACCCCGAATTTACTAAAGCCCTAAGCCCTAAACCCCAAACCCAAAACCAATCGAAACCCTACTCAACACCTGAAGCCCTAAACCCTAGACCCCAAACCCATCGAAACGAAGCGGCTCGTGGATTAAGTTGCAGACGACGGAGCGAAGCCTGTCAAGGAGGTCCAGGGCTCTCCACCGTTTCGGGCTTTAGTTTCGGTTCAAGGCTGTGCCCACATCATAAGTTTAATTTATATAAGTGTTGGATTGTGGTAGGGTTTCTTGATTCAGGTTTGTGGGCAGTATGGACAATGGAGGTCGTGGGGACACAGGCCCCAAACCCTTAAACCCTTTAACCCCAAACCCGGACTAAAACCCTAAGAGAGATCCGAGAAATCCCGAACGAACCTAAACCCTAAAATGGAATAGCCTAAGCCCTACTCCTGACATCAAACAAATCCTAAAGCCCCCAAGAAAAATCCTAAACGAACCTAAACCCAACAGAGCCCTGAGCCCCACTCCTTGTATTGCCTAGACTAGACTTGAGGCTCCATTGTAGTTCCTCTTTTGTGGCTTACAATAATATAAGGATCCTATATAAATAAAAGTTAATCTAATCTCACGAAAGGAGCTACAACACCTAAAAACTGAAGCAAACTTATTTGAGTAATGTCCCTGAATCCCGAATATTCGCTGGCCCCAAACACTCAAACCTCAGCCTTGCCTTCTGGGATTCGTCTTGCTTGTCTGAGTTATGCCCGGCAGTTATACCCTTGATATGGCAGGTATCGGCTCTTCATTAGTTAGCAAAGAAAGCAGAACAGGCTGACTAGTTCACTCATGCCTGGATGAGATGCATTGAACTAGACTATATGGAGCTAATAAATTACGTAACTTCCTATCCTAGACCCATACGACACAATATATATAACCCATCCCAAGAACCTACCATCTGATACCCCCAACCCACCTGCACTTCAGTGCTCGCAAACCGGAGCCATCAACAGGAGCACTTGCAAAGCCAACCGTAGTCTTACTTTGGTTGCTAGGACATAAGATTTCTCCAAGAATCTGAACTAGGGTATATTTGGCCCTTGTGTTTATGGGGCACACTGAAGCCACCAGCTGCCCACCCAGTGGCACACCCAGCTCCCAAAATCACTTCTCCAAGACCATTAGATACGCTGATCCGGGAAAGTTGCACAGCGGGCCATCCACTCCCTCGCCCAGCCGGCGAAGCTCCTCGGCTCACGGGATCGGTTGGGGAGCAAAGTGTTGCGAAGAGAGTTTAGAAGGCAAATCGAGGTTTTTTGTTCTTTGGGCCGCTAGGCCGGCAGTTCCGTCACGCGAACAC